AGACCTTTACTTTTTCTTGATTTATCATTATAATGTTTCATCTTGAGACTATCTACTAGGACAGTGGATCGTAGAATAGTGAATACAGACACACAGACAGTTCATAGACACTTGTACATCAAAACCCCACCTATAAATAAAGTCTGACATGTAAACATCTACCAGCACCAGAACGTAGAATTTGGTGCATCTAACAGGTATCTGCTTTTTAGCGAAACGCTGATCCTGCTGTTGAGGAAACCACTTTGAAGCAAAGCGCATTTTGGCTAAATGTTTTTAACAACATAGCCTACTATAAGCATGCCAAGCTTTCTGTACATGCGACACTGAGTCTTCTCTGTCATAAACAATGTGAGCAAAGAGTTGGTACAGTAAAGAAGATGTTCCCAGTGGTCTCAAAGAGGTGGTTATTGGTGATGTTGCTGGTGCTGTATAAAAGTGGCTTGGACCTGCTGCAGAGTGGAAAACTGTTTCGAAGTTGATCCCTTTCTTCAGGTTTAAAAAGTCAGCAGAGAGAGTATTTCCTCTGGTTTTGCATACAACAGTGAGAGCAGATAGTGTATGTGCTCTGACGTGTTGGACCAAGAGAGGGTGGGTGGGGGGGGGGAGGAAGGACGGAAAGCACCCTTTGAGGCCGGTTTTTCAAACCTGAGCAAGTCAAAGTCTTTTTTTTTTTCAACCTGACAAACATTGCATATTTTCCTCATAAGCATCTCCCCAAGCTACTCTACACTTCACATCATTGATCTAATATCTGATCTATATTCCTGATTAATAGACTAATTATAGATAAGCTCATTTGTGTACATTCTTAGCTGTCTAGGCATGTGATTTCCCACCCGTTTATAAAAATATCTCCATGACTATACATTTCCTTTTAGATCGTCCGAGCAGCACAAAACCGCTGCAACACCTATAAGTGCTGTTAGTTCCATCTTGGGATTTGGTGTACTAGGCAATAGGACCGTGATAGTGTCCGCTCAAAGCTATTCGTAATGTCTAGTGGCGAGATTGTAGTGCAGTGAAAGGAGCTCCATGTGCCATTGGAAAAGGAAAGGAATGTCATGATCATAACAACTTTCATTTACACAATGCCTCACATACGTGTTGGCTGCCAAACAGTCACATTTGAAATTGCAAACAGTCTGAACGCGCATCTAATGTTGACAGCGCGCTCAATAAGCCAATATGGCACTTTAATGACATGACTCAGCTCATGAAGGCTTAAATATTCACTACTGATTTGTTGAACTGAAATGGCCACAAAGAGTATTGGCTTATTCAATATTTTGTGTCACGATAACCTAAAAATCACTCTCGGGAGTCTGAAACTGCTACCACCCAGCACACTAATGGCGCGTTTCCACTGCAGCGGGGTAGCCCCGTTTAAGCGTCCCTAAGCGTCCTCGCTCTGGCCTCGGGCTGCCTCGCTGGCCGGCCCAGGCCGTGGCGCATTTCCATTACAGTTTAGGACCTGGGCTAGCAACGCAGTGTAGGCGGGGCGATCAGCTTTTTGGCGGGCTTTTTGGGCGGAGCGACGCTGAGATAAAAGTGCAGGGACTCCAGTAAAGCCGTTGCAGAGTCCAGGCCTCCCTCCCTCCCAACGTTGGCCGGTCTATGGCCGTAGATCTGGTCCAACAAATCGAACCACTTCCATTGTTTGCGACCCGCACCACTCGTGTTGTTATTGTCCTTTACTTGGCGATATTCGCTCTTCATCTTTTTCAGTTTTTCCCTACACTGCAGGAAAGTCCTCGAAAATCCGCGTTCGGACATCTGTGCAGAGACATCCTGGAACACTTTTACATTTCTCGTTGTTCCGTCGAGCTCCCGCTGGATTTTATCATCCCCAATGAGATGAAGGAACGTCGTCACCTCCTCGGTCGACCACGGTGTGCTTTTCTTAGAAGTAGCCATTTTTGTAGCTCCTCCGTTTACAAAATGCTGTGTATAAAAATGCTGCAAGCTTGCTTCTAGATATATATGCGACGCTAGGGATGAACTCGCGCACAATCTTGTGACGATTCTCTCTGACCAATCAGCAGTCGAGAGTGTTGACGTCACTAGTTCAGCCCTGGCCATGGTCTGAGGGAACCACGATTTTATGAGGCCGGAAAAAGAGGGAAAAAGTACCCGCTGGCCGGTACTAGGCTATATGGAAACGCCACCAAAAACCGGCCTGGCCGCTTGAGGACGGTTAAGGACGCTTAAACGGGGCTACCCGCTGCAGTGGAAACGCGCCATTATACACTCTTTACCAGAGATCCAACTACATAACGTGGGTTTTTCTAAATCGAGCCTTCATAATAAATCCTCCGGTGCCCTATGAAACACGCTGTAGAACAATACCACAGAGGAGGAAGGATACAAAAGCAATCAATAAGGCCATCATTATGGAAAGAGAAACAAAATGATAACAGGCGTGGCATTATCTGATCCGGTCTGCCAGAAACGTCTGATTGTGAGAATTCCTGCAGCTTTTATTTTGAAATATTCCACTCTTGCAATTCAGTGTTCTTGTCCTGCAACCCCACCACCCTCATAAACTGTAACAATGGCTTCAAAGACTATATTTTAGCCCGATGAACACAATTTTAGTCACATTCTTCAAAGGAAATAATACACGGCTGTGACAGGACTCTGTTTTACAGACTTCTGTCATGTACCACGGCCTGAAAAGGTGCTTTTGGGGGATTCGGAAGGGAAGGAGGAGGTTGATCTGATAGCAGAATGTTCATAGCAAAGTGCACACACTAAAGACAGTTCTCTCACATGAGCATGGATGCTGACATTCACATGCACACACCTATAAACATGCACAGCCTTGGTTTTTAGCCATGCCATTCTTTCGGTACATCACACAGCTAAACAGTAAGCACACTGAAATAGAACAGGCCTAGAGATGGAGGAACAAAGCCCCCCCCCCCCCCTTGATCGCCTCAAGGCTGGATGGTGCGTGGCTTGAAAGGGAGCCAAGTACAGTTGTATGTACACCATGAACCAACTGGGGGGGGTCAGACTACTACTGACAGGACGGGCTGAGTTGACTTTGAATACTATGGCACGTGTTTATGAGAAAATGGGATTTAAGATTCTAAGGAAGCCCATTTCTGCCAGGAATAGGAAACGTTGGGGATGCTAGAAATAAATATAATTACATAACTCAAAGTAAAATTATTATAAATAAAAAAAATTAAACGTTTTAAATCCAGTTTTTCTCACATTGAGTCATTAATAAAACATAATTCAGAGATGAAGAAATCTAGATACTGACAGTAAATCAACATTTCTAAGATTGTAATTTTCATGATCTAAATTATGCCGTATCATCTTGGATTCTTTAGGTCAAAATAATTCCCTTTGATAATATATCTTAACTTTTGAGATTTTGGAATTATGAGGTAAAAAGTAAACTACTGACCAACATTTCAGCTTTATTTTTTATCATTTTGATTTGCCATGAGTAGAGTTTATCCATAGAATTGAATTTCCTTTTGTTTACGCTAGCCTAGCTAACAAACGTAGCCTCTAGTCATCCACAGGGTTTAGGGTGTCTTCTCTGGAGAGATCAGATCCTCAGTTAAAAAAGCTCATCTCTACTAATGTTACCTTTAATTTCAAGGCACTCCAAATAGCTTCATACATGTGCTGTTTTGCGGCTGAGTAGGTTGTAAAAGGAAGCCACTGGTGGTGTGTGGACCTGCACTGCAGTCCCTTCTCTTGACTGTGAACTGGTTTCCCACACTTGTTCACACCGTTGGTTGAACGTTTATAATAATAGGGGACTTAATCGCTCTCGTTGTTGGATTAGCATTATTTTTGGCCCTTATTTCAAATTTAAGAAGAAAATCGAGACATTACTTTGTCTAATGAGATATTAAACAATTGGTGATTTGAATATTTATCGAATAAGGCCATAGCATTAAGTAGCCTAATAGAACATCTAATAAGACCCTGGGAGTATAATACATATTCCCATACAAATAATCAAAGTAGAATTGGAGTGTCAGACCTTTTTCCATTTCAACTGTTACCTTGGCACAGTTGTTTTGTTACAGTACACTTTCCCAAAACCATTTTATCTCTAAACCCTAAAGCACTGTGCTCCTCTTCTTCTCTCTCTGGCTTCCCTGTGCTGAACCATCAGCCGTCCTGTGACCTTTTCTGTCTCCCATGGCTGTCGTTGCCTCATTACCTCCGTATAGGATGTTATCTTTTCGCCTCAGTTCTTCAAATGACGCTCATCAAATTACAATTTGGTCGTCTGTTTGTCAGCAGGATTACAGAGAAATTACTATCAGTGTGTAGCATGGGCCAAGGAAGAGTCCATTATGTTGGAGCTGATCCAAATTATGGTGCAGAAACACAATTTATGTTTCCCTTTTCTAAAAGGTGCGAGATCGGCCATTTGTGCTGCACTGTTGTTCTCTGAATAATAGGAAACACATTGTTCCATGCTGGTCTTATCTGTTTGGTAACATCTGGATGTTGCTTTAAGAGCCATATTCTTCACGTTTATAATATACCCATTATTTTGTCCTCCCAGCCCATGGCGTCATTTTATCATGTTGGTTATTCTGTACACATGACATGTATTGCATGTCTGTCAATAAATGAAGAGGGAGGTTTATTCAATGTTTTAACCTTTTAAATGCAGATTGTAAAGCCCTTTGAGGCACATTTGTGATATGGGGCTGCATAAATAAAATTCATTTTTCTTTTCCTGGCAGGAATGGGGTTCCATATGGAACATAAGCAAACAACTCCCACTCTCAAACAAACACGACAGAAACACTGTCCCACCTCCACACATGAAGTCATGTGTTTTCATTAAGGGCTAAGAAAGCAATGATCTTTAGTATTTGAGGTAGACACACGACCCAAATCCTTGAAGCCTGGATGTCTATACCATTTCAATCTAGAGCGAACACAGAAAACATAAAAAAAGGTACATTGCTGATTGTAAATTGAGAAGACAAAAAAAGAGGAGCTAACAATGGTTTTTCATCTAAGGTTCATCATCATTTATTAGAAAATGTTCTTTTACCTGAGAGAATCCTTCAATAGCTTCCTTTACCCAGTCACACAAAGTGGTCTGTGTGTGTGTGTGTGTGCATGTTTGTGTGTGTGGAGCGGGTCTAAGCTGATGCTCTCATGGGTGGGAACATTTTAGAATCAATCATGAGATTACTATTTTCCCACAATCATAAAAAAGATCTGCTGAGACAAGAACTACGCCAAAAGGTTCACTCACTCACTTATTGCACTTCAATACAAAAAGAATCGTAAACTTTGTAATTAGTCATTAGGTGCCTAAAGGCTGAAACTCAAATGTTCGGGTTAAACTCATTTGAAAAACAATTAATGGTACAAAAGGCATTTGGCTTTGGTGCAATTTAACTTTTTTCCCCTGTCAGCACAATTATTATCACCAAAGATTCTTCCACGTCTCGTGGATTGGTTTGGGCCATTCAAAGTGCATTTTAGTTAAGTGCTCATGTTCAACGGGGTTGAGGTTGTAGATGTTTATCATTTTTTCTTCATTTACAAATCAGGTCAAATCCTTTCCTCATGTCTAAAAAGTAGAGGAATAGGTTAGGTAAACTTAGCTATGCTATGTTTCCCATTGATAGACATCAAACACCCACTCTTTATCATTACATTAAGTTGGTCGCAGGATAGAAACAATTAAAGCTTTACACACATATTGCAGACAAGTGAGTTAAGGGGATTTTCTAAATCTTGTAATTCGTGGCCTTAACGTTGGACCCACCCAACGACGAGAGCATCGCATCAAAAAGACGTACCCAAACTTCCAAACAACACACACATAAATGCACACACACCACTTTCTGAGCATTTTACAAATAAACAGCACATCTCGTAGAATCCTTTTTCTCCACAACATCCCCAGTACCCCTCCTACTTGTTTTCTGAGACCCGGACTACCGTGGAGAGAGACAGTCAGCTGGGCTAAAGGCCAGCTCACCAAGGTAGTCCAGACCCCCGCTGATATAAGTAGCGAGATGTCCAGAACATCTGGAATTCAAGCCAGGCCGAATTTTACAAGCAAGGCTGGCTCGCTGTTGTTACGTTGAGCTTGTCTGTGGGAGGGAGCAGGAGGGAAATTGCATAGACATCTTGCTACTTGCGTATCTTCACAAACTCTACATTTGGCATAGGGGGGGACCAAACACAACCATGAAACCAAAAAACATTACAGAAAATCTCCACCCTTGTCCAACATGTCAACATGTGAGAATAAATCAGGATCATAATATTTATGGATGGGATGAGTTTGCCCCTGCAGAGCCAGCCTTGAATCTCTGCATGTTGTGGTGACGCTAACGCAATCTGGGTGTCATCAGAGACCAAATGACTTTCAGCTTATGCCAGTAAGAAATGAAAACCATATATGGTGCTAGAGTTCAAACTTTCATCACCAGCTAAGACTCCATTTACACTTCCTGTGTCTCGGGCAGAGTGGACCGTTATTGGACTGCAGTAGAAATGCATATCAGAGGATTGAAATTTGAATGCGTGCGAGAAGAGTATTCAGATGCATTCTTGCCAGATGTGGAGAAGTCTGAATGCTCTGTAATTTTCACGCCTCTTAAGTGTAACTAAAGCTGTAGATATATGAAGCTTCTAGAGCTTCTCATGTTTTGAGGAGCTTCAGATCCAAATTGCATATAGCCCGCGTAAACAAAGACCGTCCAATAAGAGATGCATATATGTTGCTTAGTGTTAATAAAAACGTATTGAATCTGGATTTTAAGAAAGACACATGAAATGACAACTACAAATGGAACCTCTAATAGTCCCTGGTTCAGGTTTATGACCACCTTGTATCACAAACTGAGCAAGAGTTTTTTAGGCTGGCTTCTGGGAGGCAATGGGATGGTGGACGAATGGGGAAATCCATGTTGGCGGTTTCCAACCTTGATGTGTGTGTTTTGCAGCCACGTTAGCTGATATTCACTTCAATATTGACCTGCTTATGTTCTATTTATCTGCCTCTCCCACCTTACTCATCAAACCACCTCACCGCCCTGCAGAACTTTAGCCACTGTGGCTGCTGGCAACACTCACATCAAGAGTTTGGAAGAACTGATTCCATAGGTGAACACACACATACACACACACATAACTATAGGCATTCATGTGTGGTGTCATTGTGAGAATATGAGGGGCACGAATCTCTCTCTTTGCAAATAACAGGAGGCACAGGGTTCATGATTAATGTCACAGGGCACTTCTGAATATGGATCAGCATGCACATGTGAGAGAGTGCACACACACACAGACACAGACACACACACACACACACACACACACACACACACACACACACACACACACACACACACACACACACACACACACACACACACACACACACACACACACACACACACACACACACACACACCAATCACACACAATAACGTATGAAGCATTACACATCACTTTGCTTTCCCCCCCCTCTTACATTGGAGCGGGATGGAGAGGTTAAATGTACTTTGTTGCAATAAATCTCGAGTGTTGTATGTTTTTGTATTTACATCCTTGGTTATGGCCAACAATAAAAGGTGAATAAAAACAAAAATAAAATCAAAAACAGAAAACATACAAAAATACACAACATAGGATTGCACCTTGCAGATGGGCAATATATATTTTCAGTTTTGTTGTAGGTTGGTAACGTCTATGTGACACCAATATAGTTTCTGCTGGTGTGTGGAAGTTGGGTTGTGGGTGCCGGGCTCAGGTCCAGCCCCCTCCTGTCAGCTACATTCAATACCATAAAACTCTCAGCCATTACAAAAGTCTTAGTCCCTCAGTCTCTGGGCTATTCACATTTTTAAGTTTACCGTCTAAAGACTGTGCCTTTTTAAGTTGGAGAACTACACGTTAGCTGATGGTATCTAACGCCTCACAACCAAATAAGGTAGAGCACAAAAGCTTGAGGGAAGAGTCATTTTGTAACTTCTACTGATGCGTGCACACAAGTACATATTATCTTAACATATACCTTTTTTTTTTTAAATCTATATATGCATCTCTGAACTTTCACATGTGCCTGCAAAATATGACTCCTCCCAAGTTCCTTTGAGTTTTGTGTTGTGTGAGGTACGACAAGATTTTTTTTTTTTTTTGTATTTTCATTTTCTGTTGCAATATTTTTCCTGTTTGTGTTTTTTTTTCTCCAAAGTTGTATTTCATAAAAAAAGAAAAATATAAAAAAGAAATTCCTGTTTTGTTGGTTGTAAATTCCTCCTGATAAAAGGGGACGGACAACTGGACAGACACACAGACAAATAGATCAGTTGGCTTATCAACACAAAGTATAGATGTGAAAAAGAAGTGAAATATGTTCTATGTTACACTGCACGCATGGTCAAAAAGTGACTAGAGCTGTTTTTTTACCTTTTTTACACAGAGCCGTTTAAGCGTCAAAAAACAAACAGAAAAATAAGAAAACAATGATAAAATGAAAAATTCTCCAATAATTTTGTTCATGAGTCTTTTTTTTAAAAAGTCATCTCTTTTCATTGTGTTTTGTGTATTTATAATCATTTCATATATCTTTTTTTCTTAATCTAAATCAGACTCAGAAGGTAAAGCAGCATTATAACCCCTACTGTCACACACACATATCCAGTCAGCTCACGAGAACAAAGGACATCAATAGGGTTCTCTTTTTCAGTTCTTTTACAAAGATGTGTCGGAATTCCAAACCTGCATCTCTGGAATGAGCGATCACGTTCTGATCCTCACTACATGACAGGTGGGGGTTATCCTTTTGGAGGGAGCTGAGGGGGACATTTGGGGTTTTCAGCTGGCATGGGAGCAGGGGCTCATATGTGGTCGTTGTGGGAACTGAAAGGGGAGACGCTACATATTCCAACACTGCCGTCTCCCCTTCCTCCGAGTGTTTGTTAGCATCGTCCGACCACATCACCCTCTGTCACCCATGTCAATGATGGCAGTGAGGGTCGGGACCCTCAGCTTTGTGTTTCCTGTTCGGCGCTTTCTCCTCTCGCATCCTCACAATCTCGCGTTCAAGTCTCTCGTTCCCATCGCTGCTGCTTTGCCTTTCACATTCATTCGGTGGCGCCACACTAAAGGGCAGATATGGCCAGCCTTGTCTCACAAGGAAGTGGCCTGGATGCCGTTTGGTGTCAATGATTCTGGGCCAAACTGGGCGCATCCCACTCGGCGGTGGGTGGGTATGATAGCTAGGGTGCTTCGTGAAGAGGAGAGAGGGAGAGAAGATGATTGAAGGGAGGGCTCTGAATTTGAAATGTCACTGGGCTGACTCTATAGGAAGGATAATCGGGAAATGGACACTACAAGGAGAATTAATAAGTGCTACTGTGCACAGCCCTCCTACGCAGGGATCTCTTTACGCCCCTGGTTGGGATGATTTAAGGGTGAGGGTCATGTGCTGTGGGTCTAATACTGACAACGGGTCAGGTTTGGGACTGAGCCCACTTCAACGGCCAGCGTCTGTTACACAGAGCCACCAAAACTCACCTTCGTAAGGAGTGTCCCGCACCAAACGCACCCTAAATGACGGGAGTTTTGGTGAGGGACGCAAATGGGGAATCCAACAAGAGGTGTTGGTTTGATGAGTAGGGGGCCGCTGCAGTAGTGCAAAAGCTCCCACCAGCCAGGCTAGGTGGGGGCTGTTATAATGTTGGTAGGGGTGCAATTTAGTCAAAGCTAGGCTCCAGAAAGGACATAGCCTAGATTAGGGTAAGGCAGGGCATGGGATGGATCTCTAAAAGTGAGGATAATGCTTGTGAAGGGGATTCTTCTGGGAGTCAGACCAGGCTCCACAATTTTGCCCAAAGGTGGCGTTCCAGTTCCTCTCGCCTCCCAGCGTTGCTCTAGACGTCGAAGCAGTGAGGCATGGCCATTTGTGACGATTACCCATGATTCCTGCCACATGTTGCTCTGCTTGGGTACTCCCGAGGGGTGCAGATTAGCCATCCTGTACAAGTGCCAAGTATGAAGTACTGTTTGGCGTTGAGTATAAAATAGATTTTCTTAGTCTCTCTTTTCTTTCATTCTCTTCTTGTATGAGTGGTAAACCCAGTTAGGTTTGGCATGGCCCCAGAATTGGAATGAACAGAGTGGGCTTTGATCTAATCAATCAACATTGGTGAATGGTCCTTTGGCTAGTACACTATGATATTTGCCATGGATATAATTGCCGTGAGATATTACCGTTATAGTGGTGAGCATTGGTAAAGTGCATGAGACTAAAAGAGCTTTTCAGTTTAAGAAGCTTCATTTCGGTTTAGAACATTCTACCTTTTTACGTCTAATGCACTGTCCATGCATCAAAGAAAGCTTATTTCAGAGAAAATATTTATCAAGGTCCAAGGACAGCCATCATGAGTGTACTATGGAAGATAGCCATAATGCAGAAGCAAACAGCCCTTTCTCTGCATGCTAATTCAACGGGCGTGGCCGATGCGGGTTCTAGGTACTCTGTTATCTATCCTCTTGCTACTTGCGCAAATGGGTGTCAGCTGGGCTGCACATCTACAGTGTCCTTCGTCGCTCCTGTGAGTCGGCTTCTGTTCTGACAGAAACTGGGTAAATCCAAATTTCAAAAGACGACATTTGGTCCCATATAACGAAAAGAGATAACCCGAATGTAATCGGTACCATTCCCTGGAGTCGGTAGAACCATCCGGGGGGATGGCTGGCCCTCCTGTCTTCAATGGTATTTCATTTCAACCAAGTGATAGAACTGAGGATGTGTGTGTGTGTGTGTCTATGAGTGTTTTGTCATTTCCTGACTACAAGTGTGCACCGACGTAAATATTATGCACATTTCTGTGTTAGCCTACACATGCGCCAACTCGAATGGTGTATGTCTGTGTGTAGCCGCCCCGTGTCCACAGAGGTGAGGTAGTGCCTGACACCACAGGGGCATTAGTGCCGCCCCAGCCTGGGGGTGTATCCACTTTGAGGTAAATGGTAGCCTTCTTGGCATTTGCCTGCACTCAGTGATGCCCATGGTAAAACAAGGCAAATGTGTATGGAAGCCTGGAGGGGCCACACTGAGCTGAGTCCGTGAGGAGGGGACTCTGAACAAACCCTGCAGGTTAGGGCTGTATATTGACACTGACGTACAGTGCATACAGTAAAATGAGGCATTCATGTTACTCTGAGGTGATGTGTGTTTTCATGTTAATGTGTGTCTGTGTGAGAAAAATACAGAGAGAGAAAAAGAGTGTGTGTGTGTGTGTGTGTGTGTTTGTCGAGTTGAGCTTTGCTGCCTCACTGGTAGTTGCTGCTATTGAAAACCTCCTTGGAGGCTGTGTGTGGGAGATTTACTCCTGACCCTGGCTCTGACTCTACAGTCCAGCAATTAAATCTGGATTCCTCTCTCCATCTCTTCTCCTCCCTCCTCTCACATCCTTCCTTTCTTTTTTCTTCCTTTCTTTATTTCAATGCAGTAACTCCTTGGAGAGAGAATGGTTTAACTTTCATTAAAAAGCCAGTAGGGCTCTTACACAAGCAGCTCGGGCAATGACAAGGCAAATCTGCTCAAATGTGTGAGTGTGTGTGTGTGTGTGTGTGTGTGTGTGTGTGTGTGTGTGTGTGTGTGTGTGTGTGTGTGTATGTCACAGGAGCCGGTCCAATGACAAAAAATGAAAGTAGATATGGAGCCATGTTCTGCACATTACTTTTCAAAGGCAGACAACACAATTTCATAAAACTGGAGTAGCCTTTTATAAATATAGCACCGGTATCACTGGGATCGAATAAGATACCCAGAAACAGCTGTAACGGCTCAGATTGAGTTGAGGAATCGATAAAGACTAAGTCTGGTAGCTCTGCTATACAGCAGCCATTTCACACCAAAGTAATGCTTAAAGCATCCGCTGAAATTTCACTGTGCAGTGTTTGCTGATTGCATGTGCCTGCATGACTGTGAGCATCAATATCAATGTCACCGTTGTCCATATTTTCTGAATTACTGACTTAACACTTATTCAGAAATAATACTGAGAGGTGCTGGCCAGCATGGCAGCTGGAAACATGGGCTTTAAAAGGTGTGTAAATCGGTGACCGTTACAAAAAAGAACACGAGAGGGGGAACAGACCCCCGAAAAGAGCGCTGCTCGAAGAACTGAGGTGGAACAGGCTGTGGCTGTGTGTGTATGTGCATGTGTGTGCGTGCAAGTGTCTTGGCAAATGGATACAACTCTTACTAAATAAGACATCATGCTCAGACAGAAGGGCCCCCACACGGATTTTGAAACAGGGGTAGGTAAAAGGAGGAGAATTAGGTGGAGGAGAGGGCTGTCGAAAACAAAAAATCCTCTGTTTGCTCGACTCTCCTGTTGCTGGTGTGTTGTTTGTGTGTTGGTTGGTTCCAGTTTTTAAACCACATCTGTAAATGCAATGTCGGAGGAATGCAAATTCCTGCCGAGAGGACTCTTCCTTCTTCCTTTCCCTGTAAAAACGATGGCCCTTCCATCTCCCAATTTGCTCCAACTTCCTCTTCCCTTTGCGTGGTGGGAATTGTGTTTCACACCTCCTGGTCCTCGAAGACCTCCAGGAAGAGTGGGGGGAAGAGTTCATTGGGACACTCCACCTTCATGTGAAGGAAGCGGCTGGCGTGGCACGCCCCGATCATCCGCAGGTCGGTCACCTTCATTAGGAGCTTCGGCCAGAAGTGAGGAATGTTGTGCTTGCGGTAGTTGATGTAGTGCTCAAACGCCAGCAGGTAGGTCTCCTGGCACTTCTCGATCTTGTCCATGCAGGTCAGGCCAGAGCGATCTGGGGATAGGAAGATACGGTGGGGAGGGAGGAAGAGAGGCGAGTGGATCATTTAAGAACAAGGAGAAAAGAGAAAAAAGGAGAGAGGGAGAGAGTGAAAATTAGTGTATAACAAATCAACAAATGTCATCGTTTTATAACAAAATATGACTACTTTCATTTGTTTTTATGGACAATTTCCATTGGGAAATACTTTGTGTACTGTAATGCCTCGATTAGGGGCTTGGTACCTTGACAGCATATTCATTCTTACTTTCTAAGAACGCGGGGCTACCCTGGGAATTGTTACATTGCTTCTTTTGCGAGAGGCCACCATAATACATATCCTGTCTTTATTTGCATTCTATTTAGATTTAGAATTTCCTCCTTTCAACACTGAATATGTTTGTGGGACTTTAATGATCAGGCCATAATTACATTTGGATCCACAAAAGGTTACGATATATGCGGTGTAAGGCAGCGGGTAATGAATATGGACAGTCATGGAATTGTGTCTCCAAGGGCACAGAAGACTGAGAGTTTACATTACGTTAGGCTCAAACTCCCAGAGTATTATAAGCAGAGAGGAGAGGCACAGCCATGCAGCGTTAAGTTTTAGAGAAGTAGTCAACCTGAGCTCATGAGCAGCACGGCCTGTAGCAGCGCCACCTCTGTGTCGTCGAGGTTGAACTGCGCCAGGCTCTTGCCCAGATCGAAGATGGCGTCCGACACCACGCCCAGCCCGCCGTTCTTCAGCTGCTCCCGCTTCACGGCCATCTCCCCACTCAGCGTCAGCGTCTCACTCTCGGGGTCGTAGCGGATGGCGGCTCGCAGCGACATGATCTCCATGCAGCAGCCCTTCAACAGGATGATCTGGTCTTCACACGGTAGCTGGGGGAAAATGGAACATTTAATGCAAGGTTATTCATCTCTTAAGAATTTGCATATTGGACACATTTTAGCATTTTGAGGCTGTGAAAACCATGATATTATCCACCATAATTACAGAGATATTGGTGGATGATTTGAACAAAAAGAAAATGTTACATACAGTAACAGTTAATGTGGGTACAGTTTTCTCATTCATTTTAGAGTAGGGGTTTCAGGGTCTTATTAAGTTAATTTTCAGGTTCATATTTGCATTAAGTGCCTCTACTGTGACATGTCTCCATGCGCCAGGTTTAAAAAGCTCTCTATTTTTCTCATACTGCCTGCAGTGCTGCAGCACCTCTTTTCATCCTCTGTCTGAAACCAGAGCCCAGTCTGCGCGAGTGTTGTCACTATGTTGTGGAAGTAAACAAAGGATTTCATTCGAGGCGTTTCACCCAGCCCTCAAGCTTTATTACTTTCCACAAAAAAAAGATTTCCTGGATTACAACAAAACAAAGTTGAATGATAAACACACTGAAGCACACACACAATCCCTCCGGGGATGAAAAGACAAGAATAATGCCTTGCACAAATGGAGAGGGAAAACAAAACAACACATTTTTTTATTTCTCATTCATTTACTACACTTGACTTCACTTAAGATAGATGAGAAGTGCTGTGACTGAGACAAACTGCTTTAGATAGAGGGGGAAAAAGAAGTGAGGAAGGCACAGATGGGATGAACGGGAAGATGTATTGAAAAGAAGCAGATAGGTTTCCCCCTGATGAACACAGATTATGACTAATACACCCTGATTTACATGGATATTAGAATCTCTGAGTTGAAACCCATTTGATTAAATCTAAAGACTCTGCTGCGCTGAATTAAATCTCACCTTAGCTTGTTTCTTATTTCACTGATCTCGACTGCTGAGCAGATTAATAGCCATTCATTGTCTGATTTGTCTTGTAAATGTGTACCTGGAGGGCACGCTTCATTTTCAGCAGCTGTGTTTCTGCGCATTCTTATCTGTAATTTACTGCAGTGGCATGAACAGATCTCATGGAAGCTAAACAGGTCCTCTCCCTCAACCTCCTTCATCAGATCCTTTCATAATGTAATCTATTACATTGTGAAGAATAGATAGCATATTGAACGTGACAGATTATCTGCTCCAATGTCTGGAATATTATTACTGCATCCTTATCTGCACCTGTTTAGTTTCTTCATCTCTAAAATGAATAGATTATCCAGCAGCAGTGGGGAGAAATGTATTCTATTTGACGCTCTCATTTGAATAGTAGCATCCATCATAATAGAAAAATTTGATATAATAGGGTAATCTGAAAGACTTTAAAATATGCTGATTAAAAAAGCGACGATCTCTTCTTTCAAAACCATCACTGATCTATTCTCAAAAGCAGTAATGGATTACAGTTACAACTGTGCCTCACACACTGGTTTCCTTTCTTTCTGACACACACAGCCGTCCCACCAAACAATAACTCGGCCTCCCTGATAATTATCCAATCTAAGGTCTCATTACCAGCGGCAGAGACAAGAAACATGATTACACGCTGCTAATCAAGGCGGGGCCAACAGGAGCAGAACTGCTGGCTGTGTTTTTCAAGTCAAAAAAGTGTAAATGCATGAAACTGATCTGCATATTTATCCCTGCTTTCTTTTTTAAATAGAGTAATACGCTGCGAAAAATGTTAATTTCTTATGTCAGACAGTCATTGCTCACCCCCTAATCTCATGCCTTTATGGGGAATGATACACTTTAAAAAACCCTGAGAGGAGTCTTGATGAAATTAAGTAAATGGGGGCCCTAGGAAAAGCACAATTCATTCTAAAACTCTGTGGTCAAACATAACTCGTCAAGTGTAATGAAGTCCAAGCTACTTTTATTCATCAAGAATGTTCCCCATTTTTGGAATCCTTCTTCCCTGTTGAGGCATGCCACTACAAATACAATTGTATTCAAGCATTTCAGGTAACACAAGGTGAGCTAATGATATACAAATGGTCATTCTGGGGCTCAAGTTTTAACAGGCAAAGATTTCTGAAAGAATTGCATGTGTGAAATCTTTTTGACCCTTACTCCACAGAACATTAGTCTTTTTCCACAGCATACTGATAAGTTGTTCATAGTGTCTGTATCTCTGGAACCTCTGGTGTCCTCCTAAAATAGAATAACTGCAAGACTAATTGACCTCCTAAATCACACATCCCCTCCACTAACACACTCACTGGTTTGTCTTCTGTGTGTTATCTTTCTTTGCATGTGTCAGACTCCCTCTCTCCCTCTCTCGCCCTTTACACCGTTCACCATTACTTACGTCAGAGAACATGGGCAGTTTTTTGGCAAAGTCGACGACACGGGTGATGGCAGGAGTGATGATCTTGGTGAACTCGCTGAAGGCCTCCAGGTCCACCTTGTCTCCGTCTGACGTGGGAGTAACCGGGGACTGGCCGATTTTCTCTGGCTATAAGGGAACATAAACATAAAAAGAGGGTTAAAGCCCAGTTGAACTTCATTAAACGTGAGCAAAACAGACACATCAAAAGGTGGAGTGACTCACAACTAAAGACAAAATAACCGATTAATAAAGATGTTATGACTTTATATTTTTCCTCCATTGTTTACCAAAACCTATTCAAACACATGAATGAGCCACACTGTTGTAATGGGCGATGACAGCACATTACTGAAGTTTTGTATGCCTCAAAATACTTACTAGACCCCAAAATGTGTATTAATCCACCGCTGAAAATAATCCCCAAGAAATGCACAATTTCCTTACAGATATTGACCAGTTTCAGGCTATTTCAGGCTGTCTTTTTATTTAAATTAAAATGCTAAAAACCTATTCAAGAGACCTTTTTAAGATGCGTGTCTTGAGTAGAAACCAACAGACCTGGGGCTGAGCGACACAGGGAGTAAGGAAGTAAGTTAAAGGTGTGGTAGGTAAGTTTGAGAAACCGGCTCGAGATACACTTTTTGTTATATTCCATGGAATGCTCTTAACATCCCGATAGCAATGAATATCTGAAGTGCTTTGACAAAAAATCCATACAAAAATATCATCTGTGGAAGCCGTGGTACTGTAAAAAGTACAACCAGCCGGCCCGGCTAAACGGATTGGATTGCCGCCCTGTCTGTCAGCCTTCCATCTCGTGCACGCACAAATGTATCTTGTGCCCTCATTGGGCGTGCCGTCATTGGGCGTGCATTGCAGCAGTACTTCAATGACTCGCCAGCAACAGGCGGCCACTTTCAACAGTCTGCTGACGTCATGTGCGCGTTCATGTGTGTTGGAGGAGGTGCTCTGTAAGGAAGTCTGAAGGAAGGGGCGGATTCTTTTCGGCTGTGTACTTTCAAATTTGAGTGCACTCGAGCCAGTTTCTGAAACTTACCTACCCCACCTTTAAGTAATAGTTTTCAAAGTTGGTTTTGGAGTCATTCAAAATGAGGTAGATACAGAATATGTCGTTTTGTTTGAATAGACTAGGAGAAAAGAGCAAATTTGAGCTTAGTGAATTCAGCACAGATCCCTACGACAGGACAATAGAGTACATTACAAGCTTCATTGTGGAGTATGGGTGTGTTTTCAGAATTAAAGAGCACAGAAGAGTAAAATAGGATTACAGAAGAATCAATAAGATTGGTGTAGGGCTTAGAGAAAAATATAGCGGCAAAAACAACACACTTTGAAATGTTTTTTATAGCCTTTTGATCCTTTCTACAAAGTGCTCGCTTGCCTCGGGAGACAAATTAAAACCAATTTACCAGATAAGGACGGCAGATTGTGCTCAGAGAGAGGAATGGGACATGTCACCCGGCAGACAGTGCTTACTTACAGGAGGACTGCGGTGGGGAACTGCAGATCAGTGATACATATGTTTACAGAGTTGTGTTAACGGAGGTTGTGACTATGAAAGATATTGTTTCACGCGCCACTGAATAAAGCGCGTGTCAAGGCCGAAGTCATTCATTGAGGCCGGGCTGAGATAAAACTATAGAAATAATAACCTCACACAATGACCCATCAATCGCCATCCAGAGGGAATCAGTGCACATTTAGCCATTCCTCCGCTGTGCAGCTGAAAAATGATGGAAAATCTAAATAATGGTAGTATTAACTTTGATGGGCTGCAAGTAGTTGTGCGAGAGCCAAAACAAAGCATTGGTTTCACTCGGTGAGGTCAGTGGCATTTTTCATTTCAGTGCTGAGGGGATGGTTCTCTGGAGAGAGCAGCTGAGGTTCAGAGCTGGAAACACACCGCAAGACTCACCAGACACTACTCACACTGATGGCAGAATAACATGGAGTCTTCACCTCCAACTGTTTTAGGGTCTCTTTAAACTGGTTTAGAGCAACGCATTTTCTGACTTAAGCTACTGTACCTACAGTGATATTAAGCCAGGAAGACAGTTTTCATTTTATTTGTCTACGTTTTGAGATAAATGAGACTACAAAATAATGGAACCTACTTACTACTGTTTAATCCACAAAATAAACTTTAGTTGTATATAATCTCTATTGGCGCTGCATTGATAAATGAATCCACAGAAGTTTTTCAGGTAATAATGACAACAAATTATATTGTCATCATCTAGAATAAGGAGGCTTCCTACTTTCTCTATTCAATACCTTAATAAAGTTAATATCTTCTGCTTTGGACTGACAAAAAATACATTCTATAGACCATTGATCGATTCATCTAGAAAATAATCGGCAGAATATTCAAGAAAGAAAAGAATCATTAGCTGCAGCTCTAGTTTCAAAGACACAGTCAGGTCTATATGTCAGATTACCTATACTAAAGGGGGAGAGATTCTGGGTGTTTTAAATTACATTTGAAAATGCCCAAAAAATGCCATTGACTTCAATTCCATGGCGTGGCAGCAGAAATCTCAGAGGTTTGGCCAAATAAAACCAACACTATCTGCATGGTCAGATACTGAATGATTGATCTTGTTCTATGATAAAAAAAAAAAACATACTATAACACCGCACTGCAGTCAAAACATATGTAACAAAATCTCTAAGGCTTAAACCAAGAGAGTTATGTGCTTCTTGGTAGTTTGTATACTTAATACTTAAAATACAAGATAGCTTTCCCACTATTTAATGAAAAGACTGTTTAACCATCCGTCATCTATGAAAGCAATTTAATAAGAAAACTAATCTTAATACTACACGTGTTGTTGGAGCTCAAGTGATCACAGAAATGTGTGTGTTGATTCCGTGCACAGGCATATATTTGGGTTTGTGAATGGTCTTCACATCTTCATGCTGTATGTGCTTTCTCATGGACTAAGGAGATGTTCTTGCAACTGTTTATGTATGTTTATTTACTGCGTGGCCATCTGGGTGGCATCCAGGGAAAACACTTGGCAGAGCTGGAGAGGGATTACGTGTTTCCTGCTGTACAGACTGGTTGGTCTGGAGCCTAAACGATGTCAGAGATATCATAAAGCTCAATGTGGGCTCAACATTCCTAAAGAAACTGTTTTTCTGTCACGCATAGAAAAAGGAAATCATTTTCAAAATTACCCAGAAGAGGCACATGATATCTGGACTAACATGAACCCCGGTAGAGACTGGGAGTTGGCGCATGCTAAAGTGGGAGGAGAAAGGCGGGGGGGGGGGCTTTTTAATTGCATGTCTGTTATAGTATTTGCTGAGATTCAACTGTTGCCCTTATATCAGATAGATCAGTGTGAGAAAGATGGTTCCAGTGGAGCCAGGGAAGATAAATGATCTTTTTATCAGGCTCAGATGGTTTCATCACTTTGCTATGAACTACATGGTTCATTCTTCATGTGATGAAGATATATTTTATAATGATAAAGCTAGGTATAATGCCTTGAGTGTTTACATTTCAGAAAGATGAAAATATCTTGGGTTTTGAGTTGTCAATGAGGTTTCTGGCGTCAAAACTCACCTTTTGTCCACTGTAAGGACACTTGAATTCCAATACAAATATAGACATCCTAACCTTGGGTCAATCTGCACGGAAATATAGTTATCATCTGGTAATAATATGCTCAAACACACTGTACAGAAATGTGCACTGCGTGACAAGATAAGATAAGATTATGACTGCAGAACTGCAAGTTTGTTGTTGAAAAATGCTGAACATGACATTCTGAATGTCTGGATTCAATATGTCCTCCGTGCACTGAATCACACAAGAACATCTGATTTTTTCATTTAGTTTGGGAATAGCTGAGTAGAACATTTTACGCTAGCCAATAGAGCCGTCTCATTTATCTAATGTTGCTGAGACCAACAGCAAGCGGCTTGAGATAAAGTTCATGAGTTTATTGAAGAGAAAGATTTGTGTGATTTGAAAGGCTGCCAAAGAGAGTTGATGCTTCTCTTGGCTTGGAAAACTAAATAAAAGACTTGGAGCATAAATGTAGTCTGACCTTTGCTAGCAAGATAGCAGTTGGAGAGTTACATACGAGTAAGGAGTTCACAGTAGTAAATATCAATTTGCCTTCATACTTAATCATTACTATGAGCATGTATATCTTAGTCATTGTTTAAAGAACACTTTCGAAAAGCTCTATTTACTTCACATGGATAAAATCAAATAATTTGTTTTGCATCTTTTGTCAGTTTGCAGACACTGCCTCTTATTCGAGAATAAACATGCAAACCCATTTGTTTGTATGTTAAAATATTCCACTTTGAATGAACAAATGGTAATCAATAATCATGACTAGTCCTACACATATATGTAGATTCATCTCTTGTAAAAGCGTTCTTTTAGAAATGTGATTCTGAGCGTAAGAGAGAGAACATTATGAAACCGTAACTCAGACCAATGTGTTCTTGCAGATATGGGGGCCCAGTTAAATAAGACACATATGGGAAGCGTGTTTAATGGTGTCTTGCAGGAGTGAAAATTGCGCTTGAGTACCAACATATCAATATTTAAGTGCCAATATGATGCGCTAAATTGTTGGCGAGTAGGTGTATTAGTTCATGGTCGGTTAGCACTTAAATGGAATACATTCAATGAATTTAACAAATCTAGGGCACTTTGTCTGTTATTGGAGTGTTGCCGCTTCCTCTCCTTTATGCAGTGTTTTGCGTATATTGATGCAGAACTTAATCAGCGCTTCATTGGAGTCGTCATTTGTGAGCTATAAGTACAGTGTGTGTGTCGCTTCTGCCGTTTTAAAGCTGCCGTCCCCACAGGACTAACAAAGCTCATCCCGGTTGGCTTAGCATGTACATTTAGATATTCAGGGTTCAGCAGCTGTACCCTCCAGAGCCCCATTAGTGGGTGAAGCCTGTGTAAAATAGAGCAGTTTATCCTTTTAGATGAGCCCAGCTCAGTGTGAAGATATACTGTATGTCACAGAAGCATGGATGGCTGTCTTTTAAATCCTGTTTTTTTTTAAAGCCCTGCTCTAGAGACATGCTTTAAAGGGTTAAAAAAATATATTTCTTAATCTAAATTATATTATAGATGTGATGTGAGTCTTGATTCATGAAGTGGAGGATGGAAAAAGTCTAACTTTTAACACCAATTTCAAATGTGCCTTTCTTTTAAGGAAATCCTCACATTTATTTCCTCAGCTTGAAGCTTCAAACCTCCTCACCTACATTTTTCCTGTCTGGCCCCCTTCCCACCACTCCCGACCACTTCCTTCTAGTTGCCTAGCAACTTCCTTCCCGGTACTTGCTTGTACACGTGCTATAAACCCCTCTCCAAAGGAACCCCCCTCATTTCTCCAATCTTACACCCACCTACCCATCCCCGGGTGGATATAAAAAAAAGGAAGCCCATTGATTTCGCCTTGAGCTCAGGTCCAATGCTGCTGTGAAATTCTTAATGAGTGTTTAAAACTGGGTAAGCACCCCAGATAATCCTGGGCCAGAACATGAGGTCAGCGCCTGAGTCTGTGAATGATAGCAGGCAGGGCTGTCCAGGATGAATGTGAGCACCAGCGCAGCAGGGAGGCTCAGAGAGAAACCCTGACAGCCAACAACCCTGCGCTCATAACTGAGGATTTACTCTGGCTGTGATAAGGAGGAAGCCCACAGACAACAGACGGGCATGAATAGAGAGGAAAGTAAGGGTAGACACAGTGAGAGAGGAAACAATAAAGTGAAGTTGGGAAGGGGATTAAAGTGAAAAAGACTCAATACAGCATGTGAAAGAAAACTATGAAGGGAATTAAGGATGGTTAAGAGCCCAGAAGGATTAAGATGAATAAACCCCCCAAAACGCTGCAGAGAAGAGAGCAACAAACACAGAGCTGGGAATACAGAGCTATAGAAGTCAGAAAGAGTTACTATGTCAGTCAGCTTTGTTTAAAAAAAGAAGAGCTGCAGCTCACCGAAATCAAATGAAACTAGGGGTGCACCGAATGGGAAATTCTTGGCCGAAACCGATACCGAAAATAGGAAACAGTTGGCCGAAAACCGAATGCCGAAAGGCCGAAAATGATTAATAGAAATATATATATATAATGTATACATTTTTTACCAATGTTGTTCAGCTACCTGATTATGGAAATAGACATGATTATGGCAAAACTTAAATAATAATCACTATTATGGGTCCATAAAACATTTATTCAGCACTTTTGAATGCATACAGTACATTTATATATGTCATGTATTATTGCTAAAAAACATTATATCGCAGTCTTAGTGTCGCCAACTCGTTTCTAATATGCAAAGACAACAAATGCGTCTATGATGTATTTTCGATCAGACGAGATCTCTCTCCCCCGTCTGTGTGCGAGGGGGCGGGGCAGTTTACACACACGCAGCTGCTACATGCAGCAACACACTGCGGAGATGGCGGAGAGAACGCGCTCCCAGGTGTGGTTAAACTTTACCCGTCTCGATGTGGAGAATACTTGTTACCATAAGTGCAATAAGAGTTTAGCATGTAAGCACGAGCAATTTGTCTAAACATTTAGCAAAAGTGCACCGCATGCAGACGGAGGAATGTACCGGGTTCGACCGTCTTTCTAGCAGCTCTGTAGCCCCATCCACGAGTAACGTTTCCACGTCAGGTGTTATGTATGCTAGCAGCTACACGGAGTTAACTACATGATACAAACATGGGATAATGATTAGAGGAAACTGAGTTATTTAGTTTGTTAAAATTTCAGCTATTCTGTTTACAGTTCTGTCATCAGATTATTTAATACGATTTGTTAAAGGCTCAGGGCAATCTCGATGACAAAGGTCAATGTTCCCCCCCCCCTGTGAGCCAGCCGCGAGCATGGTCGCCGCGTCTTTATTACGTCATCACAACAACACGTTAGGTTACCAACGTAAGCCTGTTCTGACATTCGGTGCCCTTTCGGCCGAAAGCCGAAAGGGCCTTTTTAACCATTTTCGGCCGATAATTTACGGTGGCCGAATATTCGGTGCATCCCTAAATGAAACCTTATCATTTGTGACTGAGAATGTTTGCTTGTGTGAGGATATTATGCAACTCGCCCGTTGCGAGGTTCTGAAGGGGTTACAAGCAGGAACATTGAAGCACAAACACTAAAGCAGCACTACATCGTTTACAGTGTGAAATCACCCCTGTGGCAGCTGTTGGAGTGTTTTTGCACTTAAACAGAGTCAACAAGTCCTGAGTGCTTGTTACCGCTGTTTTAATAAACACAGCCTTATCCTCTGATCTGCAGATTTTGTTTACAGCTTTTCCATAGGGTTGAAATTAGTTTGGGGGAATTGTTCTACTTGTCAACATTGTGTTTGACAGATTACCAGCTGAGTTCTCAGACACGAGGGGTGAGACAACCAGTTGGCTTTCAAAGGAGAAAGGTAAAACAACAGGGGGCAAACACAAAAACAGGGCATAGTTTTGTATCAGTTTTACAACTTATCTAAAATCTTTGTCTGTCAACATTAAATTGGTAAGTGCAAGGTGGTCAAATAGGGCCATAGCTATACAAATAAGACCACAATTATCATTGAAAATCTGAAATAGATGATTAAACATTTTGTTAGAAGTTAACTTGATTACATTCAAAACATTTCCGTAAACTTGCTGCTACGGCACCTTGTAACCGTACAGAAAGTGGAACGTTTTAGTTGGTAAACAATGCTGTTCTGATAATAAAATAACTAGTAAATAGCGCTTTAATTGGCAGTTTTTTTCCTCTTACCAGGAATTTGCGCTTCTGTTTCCACTGTGCGCCCTGAGCGTTGGTGTGCCGGTGGGCCTCCGTCACCAGGTGGATCACCTCCCACTCGCTGTCAGTGGGCTCTGGACGGTTTTGGAGGGTTTTCACCATTTCCTCCTTCTTGCGTCGCTCCCTGTTCTCTTCAATCAGACGCCGTTTAGCCACCCGCTTCGAGTCATCCAGCACCACTGCGAAGAGATGAGGGGAGATGGAGGAAAAGGCCCGGAGGGGAGAGAAGGAGAAAGAAGGAGAGGAAGAAAGTGCAAAGGAAGAGAGGAAGAAAGCATAGAAGAGGTATGTAATTAGTTTGCGCGTTGCCTAACGTCTGCACATCGTCTAGAGATGCAGATTCCATATAAAGTTCTACACAACGCTTCTATATACAGTCCTCACATCTTTATGTCCCCTGCATCCCTTCTGCACCACTCCCTTCTTTAAAAAAAAGCAACAGTTTTAAAACACAATCTGAAATGTGTACTTTCAGATTAATTAACAATTTACGGTAACATTTTATACCACACCCATGTCTGTAATGCATATTATGAAATCCAAACATTAATTACATCATAGACATGGGTGTCATAGAAAGTGTTAACAGAATGAATGTGCTTACTGTAAACTGTATACTATAGTTATAAACACACACAAGTGTTCATAAGTCTTGTCAACAATAACATTTTGTAATAACTAATCAAAGGTCAAGTATGGTAAGACTTCATAACTGCTGGTCTCACACTGACACTGTGGTACTTGGCCTTATAAAATGTTTATAATGCTTATAAGTATTGCAAAAAGCATTATGAATTGTGATTATACAGTGGTATGGGTTAATTATAATGCACTTGTTTATAATGCATTATAGAGTTGGAACAGAGAACGTTTATATTCTATCCAGCGTGTATTTATACATTGTAATCACTCTTTTCTGTGTGAGTGAGTTTGTGTTTCTGTGTGTGTGTGTTTGTGTGTATAAATGCACAGCACTCACAGTCCATGGCCATGCCCACTGCAATGCACTTCTTGAAGCGGCACAGCTGACACTGGTTGCGGGTGATCTTGTCGATGATGCAGCAGCCATCGTACTTACAGGAGTAGCTGGGGTGGAGGTTCTTCTGAATGGTCCTACGGAAGAAGCCCTACAGACACACAGCAAGGGGCAGCGGCATTTAATGAAGATTGAGGGAGAGAGCCACTTACAAAGTCGTTGAAAGGACAAGTGTGAGGCTGAAGCCAGGAGACAATATATAAAAACGTTGTCTCTACCACATATTGCTGTTTGTTGCAGTGTGAATAACAAGCTGGCCGAGACATTTTAATTACCAATGGTGCTTTTGCTGTGTGATAAAACACATTCAGAAAAAGATCTTTAATGGAATTTGTTCTGTACCTGACTTGCTAGCAAATGAGGCACCTTGTGTAAATGTTAACTGAGCCTTGTAGTTGCTCGAAGGCAACAGCGTAGGAATCAAACAAACCGTAGCTGGACATTTTAAATTCATGTATTAGGCCTTGTATCAGCCAATCATGTAATATTTTTCCTGAACATGCAGTAAAACTTGAAAATATAATAAATGTGCACTTAACCAGACCAATAATGTAATAAAACCCAATAATGTAATAAAACCCAATAATGTAATAACCTGACCAGTAATGTAATAAAATGTCCTGAGTGACATTTTCACTGTCTACTTCTCAATGTAAGGTGAGGCTAACTTTGGTCTATCAGGAAATAAATCCAAGTACCCAGGAATTAGATTTAATTTAAAGCGGTGATACTTTTGGACAGGCTCTTTACAAATAGAAAATCCATGAAAGGATCCCTATTCATAATCCTCTGGTAGTGTTGTTGAGTTAAAAAGTCTAAACGTCTCCACTTTATATGTTGTGTACTTTAAATATACATAAAGCCTTGAGTTCAGTCGGCTTACATTAATTATATCGTGAACTCATACACTTTACTCGATAAAACAAGCACACGTTTCAATATAATTACATTATACTGTAAAATGAAATTATAATAATATTATTAAAACTTTAAACAAAGGCGTATGATAATAAAGTACAACAAAATAATTAATGATACAGACGTTCATGTTGATCCAACTGTAAGATATTACAGTCACTGACATTTTCATGAATTATCGAAATAATGTTTTTAATCAGGAAATGTTTTGACTTTACAATTACTATTATTGGGTTTGATTATAGGTGCGATCAAGTGTTTTCAAATTGCAATTAAATGCAGGCGTTATCACATTTTCAGGATATCTTCACATGATTGGGTGCTACGATTGACGCATGAATCTGATGTGTTTAAATATACTTTTTTTTAAGATGTCATCCAATCAATCATACGTTAACTACATCAATGCTTACTATCACATTCAAGGCCTTCAGATATAACATGCCATTGGAAACACACATGAACAGAGCCTGAGTGACAGCGAGGAAGACAACTGGAAGAGGTGAGAGCTGATGAGACAGACTGGCAGGTTTATATAAATATGTTTATGTATCATTTTTCCGTGGCTGTACACAATGTGTCTTTGACCTTGATGTGTGTGTACTTTGAAGAGACTGCTTCAGAGTGTGTGTTAGATATGAGTTAGTAGAAGCATCTGACACCAGAGGCCTCATATCAGGTTTTCTGGCAGATATTATGAGGGTTATGAACCTGCTGTGTCAGAAACGTTTGGTGTGTGTGTGTGTGTGTGTGTGTGTGTGTGTGTGTGTGTGTGTGTGTGTGTGTGTGTGTGTACCTTGCAGCCCTCGCAGGTAATGCAGCGGTAGTGGTAGCCTGTGGCCTTGTCGCCACAAACCACACACGGCTCATCCTTTTCGAGGTAGCTGGGGATGTACCCTGAGAGAGAGAAAGTGGGCAAGGGCCGAGATGTTAGGCAGAGTTAAATGAATTATACATTTTTAAACATTGAATATATTCTACACACCAATACCTCTCACTCTCACACTAAATCCACCTCACCTTCAAATTCACATTACTGCTAAGCTCCACTCTAGCCGGCCAAAATACCCCACCCAATAAACCCCTACACATTATTTCCACTCGGCTGTCTGTGGAAACACTTAACACTAGCCATTCACTGTTCCTTCACTGTACCATAAACATACTGCGAGATGATATAACGAGCTTCCAAATATCATGGACACACTTAGTTATTTTCAGATGTTATTGTATTCATTGGCTCGAATTAAGAAAGAAAAAGCATATTTAGTCATCTAGAAAAAGAGCACAATGTTAGGAGGAGCTTTAGGGAATGCTCGTACGTGATCCTCACATTAACATTCAGCAGTTGGAGCCACTTCTCTATCTGACCTGCAGGGCAACACAATCAGCACTTCTGTAACAGGTTAAATGGATCCTGTGGAGTGTTTGACCCTGTAGAAGCCCAATGTTTTTACAAGTGGGTCCTCAGTTGGTTTGTTTCCCTGCAGGTGCACAAGGACGTGTACGACATCATACGCATTTTCACCAACTGGTTTCAAGCTATTCCACTGATTGACAGTTGGTGCCCTTGATATGCCATATGTGTCAGTAAAGGCAGTGAAGAAGAAGAATGATAGAAAACATCTGCTTCAGTGGCATAATGTTTTTTAACCGAGTGAAAGGACGGTAAATATGTAAGTGGCAGCCATGATAAAGGCCGGTAGAGCTTTCTTAATGCTAAGTAAACATTTGAATTCCTTTTTCCTTTAGCATAGTGTAAACTGGGCCTTCACCTAAGGAAAGTAGGTAATGATGTCCAAACAAATTCTTTGTATCAACATTTAATGCGACGAGGCAGACCCAGGTACACAATATCCACGGTTGAATAATTATGTAGCCTTGTGTAACTGAAGTTAGATATATCATCACTTCTGTCTTTATGAATACTCCTTCACATATGTCCTTGACCTTATTTTCCATTTTCCTAGTATGTATTTATACATTTATATATTTATTAGGCCTTAACATAAAAATTAGTTGTAGCTGATAAATGACTGAATCTAAAAATATAGTTTGTTTACAAGAAAAGTCACCTGGCTTCTTCAACTTCGAAAACAAGAGACATTTCAGTAATATTTAAAGACACTTAAAGTAACATCCATAGCATCCTCACAATGGCTCTTGGACCACCACTGAAACCACTTCACATCTTTAAAATGTGACTTATTTTAAAGGCCGATTCAGTGATTTAAATGTAAACAAAAGAGAATAACAAAGGGATAACCATTTCTCTTTGTCCTGGTAGCAAGAACCAAACAAATCATTTTGAATTGCTCTCTATTTGATGGAAATGTGCTGTAATAGGCTAATGAACTCGGGACAACAACTACATTTCAGTTCTTCAAGCTTTCTTCTAACACGACTGGTTTATAATAAGAGCAATGCTTGAAAACCTTAGCTTATGTCAGCTCTATAATTTGAATTCATTACAGACAGAAAGCTTAGTTTCCACTTTCTCTTCGCGAACCTCAAATGAATGCGGTCACAACACTACAGGTCGGGTGAGTAACGTTGATACAATTGGGTTTTAACCAACAGAATTGGCTACATATATTACAAGGTATATGGGTTCCATAAACTTTAGTAGCTGAACAAAATGTACAGTATTTGGATAGTTCTCTCTCTGCGCTCCTCTTTCCCACTCTGCAGCCGTCCCTCTGCTTTAAACTCGAGAATAGGACAGTTTGTTCTTTTTCCATTTAAAGACCAGGGAGACTGAGGGAGTGAGCATATACAGAGACACAGGAAACAGCTGATTTCCAGTCATTTCATGAGATATATGGCGAAAAGACCGAGAGGGGGGAAGAGATGGTACACTGCAAGTCATAACCTAACACACACACACACACACACACACACACACTGGCAGAGCTTTGTAGTCTCTACATACGTGTGTGTGTGAGTGACGTTCTCATGACATATATGCTAATGTGTGTGTGTATACCGAGGCGTGGTGAGAGCTGTGACTGGCAGTGTCAGTTGGGCTCTGCCTTTTGGCGTTGTTACAGATTTGAAAGGAGGAGGGGGAGGGCAAGAGGAGGATTGTGGGAAAGAGAGAAAAAGGAGGAGGAGGAGGAGAAATGACAGCCAAAGGAGCACAGGTGACAGGAGGAGAAACAGACCAGAGGAAAGATAAGTAGGACATCAGAGAGCGATCATATAGGAAAAACGTCAGCTCCAGTGTGTTGGCAGGGCAAGCAGCAGCCCGGTCCTGAGCCAGTCTGCTGAGGACTGTGTTTGGGAGCCAAGCCCCAATCAATACCCCTGCAGCTCTGGCTGCCCGCCCCACGCGCCGCCACGGCCGCTGCAATACCTCCACCAACAGAACACAGGGAAAGGGAGGGGGTTTTTCTAGTGTGGCTGAGAAATATTTGGTCTTCACAAGTTTCCCTCACACAACATCTGTCGTTTCGTGTAATCAAAGCGTGTAAATCAGGCTGGTATGAATCGGGTCCCTGAAGGGGTCTCAGGATTGGTTTCTCGGAGGTGGTAACACAAAAACAGCACAGTGATGTGATATTAAAGATTGTAAACATTGACGTCAGCGCATGGGACAACTGTACAGAAGCTGGATTTTGAACAAAAAAGGAATCTACTAAGCCTTCTGCTGCTGTGTTGATTGTTCCTTTCCTGACTGGCACAAATAAAGTCATATATTTCCCATTTATTTTTAATAAAAAGGGCCCAATTACAGTGATTACATACATCGGGGCTGTGTAAATAAACCGGCAAGGTTTATTAACTATTTTAAACCCTAAGTGATTTAATTTATATTCATATTAGATGGTTCAAATAGCAAAAAACAATATCTGGCATGATTAAACTGAACCAAAACAGTAAAGCTAAATCCGTAAAACCAAGGTGAAGAGCTGAAAGACGCTAAAATACTGAATAGAGAATAATTCTCCACAAAATAATTGAATCCATTGTTGAGTTATTATTTCATTAACCATTCATTTATCACATTCAACACTAGAACTGCAACTGCATTTTTTCACATTAATTATATCTCAGTAGTGGTAACTTTATGTTAAAAACCTCTGCAAAATCATAACAGAATTAATATTTGCTTTAAGGAAATCTATTAAAACATATGTTTCTTCACTAAATCTGTATTATGAGCAGTGGTTAAAACATTGACCAATATTTTAGCATGTTTTAGAGTCTTTAGTGTCCTGGAAGTGTTGTCGAGGGTCGACTCTCCCACAGGAAAACGCTGACATCATGACAGTGCACGTAATCTGATCTAATGCAACCAGGCAGACATGTTGTCATAGTTTCCCAGTTGAAATAGACCGTGGCAGGTAGAATATGGTACAAGATTCCAGCAGTGATGCAGAAAGGCAGACAAACAGCTTGCAGGGAGGGAAAACATGTGGAGAGGAATGGTCTTGGAAGATATCTTTTATAATTGGCAATTCAACAATCCTGTACATTTTTTTGTGTTGGTGTTCCTCCCACCCTACCAACTCCGTCACTCTCACTCTGACTCTCTCTTACCGTCTTTATTCGCTTCTTTCAGCTCGGGGGATTTGGAGCTGTCACTCAGACAACGTGCTGCGTCAAACAAGAAAGCAGACAGAGCAAAAGTATTTGATTTATTGATGACAGATGCCAAGATGTTTGACTTTTTTCCTTTTGGAGGTCACAAATCAAAAGCGTAATGTACACAAGGCAGCAATGAATCATGTATTACTAGCTTTTGTGCAGTCAATCAACTGCATGCATACACTGTGGCGAGACTGACAGCTACAATATTCCTATATAAATGTGTCTAATATAGCTGAAGAAATTGCTGGGATAGCGATTTTCAAAATGAATGGTTCCCTGCTGCATTTGGAGAGTTTTTATTCTCTAAAAGGAGAGTTTCTAAAGAGACTTTCAAAAAAAATCTGATTTCCTTCACACTTCAGGTACGAAAGAGAAGGTTTGTTTTCCTAGCTGCCACTTCAGAGCTGCATTAGTACGTCTCTCTCTCTCCAAATCAAAACACCAGTCATCCGTTACTCACCAGTCATACTCTTCAACGAACATTGGCTGTTCTTTCTCTTCCTTTTCGGGCCATTGAACCACCTGAAAGATTGGAAAACAGAGAGAAAAAGGCAGAGACATAAGTGAATGTAAATACACAATACATTTATGTATCAGCCACATATAAAAGAAAACATTTGCTCCAAAAGTTGCAGGGGATCTAGTTCCACCTGTTCCTGCTAACTCAAACTGCCAAGCAAAGAACAAGAGAGTAGATTGAATGGACACATGTCATGTTTGTTCACATGTCCATCAACTTCTCCATCAGGCTGAGGAGAATGCTTATTTACACCACGCAGGTGCAAATACAAGGGTTTCTTTGATCCTTTTTTTTTTTTACAGGTGATAACAGGTAAAGATCAAATGTTACACCAGATGTAATTGAGGTCCAAGTTAGAGCACAAACAAATAAAGGAAACAGTCAGTTTCAGTAGGGCTGTTTTAAATAGTTCCTTCATAATCATTCAAATTCTTAATCAACATTCTAGTGCATGCATGTCTAATTATTTCATTAAATCTGCACGGTTGCAGATAAAGATGAGGCTACGGTGGTATTAGTATAAAACCATTAGTAGAATCAGATCCCAGTGCTGGCTGCATAGGAATGTTTCAGACGAAAACAACATGTTAGTGCTTGCACACGAAGGGAAGGGTATATTATCTAGACTCAAATCTAAAAACCCTTTAATTCAAGCAGGTCTCATAAGCTCATAACAAGGCCTTACAGACTTTTACAAACCTTTCTGTATTAGTCTCATCTGGCATTACACCATCTTACATCATCAACAACAACCACAGCACTGTTTGCCGGTGTTATGGAGCTTTCCAGACCAAAGAAAGAATGTGTACTCGTTGGCACTTCTTTCTCTCGAATAAGATATTTCCTAAAAGGGGCTCCCGACCCGAACTGGTGAAAAAAACTATATTGTGGGAAACAGACTTTAACCCCCAAATCACTCCAGTTATTAGCATACACATGGGACGGCCGATCAAATGAGATGTAACACAAAGTCTATTAAGCATCAAGCATACGCAAAGCAACATTCTCAAAGCATGTGCACTCAAACACACCTCCAACCACACTGACGCTATGTGAAAGGCATGTAAAGCACAGATGGGAACTGGCTGTTCTGAAGGGACTTATGAAAGCGCTGAGATGGAGGAGGGATAGAGTTAAGTAGAGGAGGGGGGGCATTTCAGAATAGAGAGTATGTGAGAGAGTCAGTGAGTGCTCCTCGCCAGGGCTTGATGTGTTGAGAATCCCAAGAGTCCGGCTCTCTGCTCTCAGACACTCCTGAAGCCCCCAGCTCTCCCCCCACAGCCCTTTAATCCCAGCTCCAGGAGAGGGAGCAGGACTCCATTCACACCATATAGAAAATGAAAGTCCACTCTGTTAAAATGCAATACTGGTTACATTAGCCCTGTGAAGGAGCTGAGGTACAGTGTGTTATTCATTATCTGGAGGAAATGTCCCTTTAATGTTGCTCTTTCTGATGTTATACCTTTTTCCCATTAGATACTTAAGCACTTTGTGATTTTGGGCTCTGTGTATATATAGCAATTCAATAATCGTCTAATAAAACACCCCTATGGTACTGACGTGTTCTACTTCTGTGTTATTAAGTGAAGTAGGCCTAAATCAGAAAGCGACTGACCATATTTATTTCAAACAGCAACGTTGATTTTTACTGGCATTTGCAGTGCTGCTAATTTTGGACCCTGTATTTAGCATACATTAAAGTAAAGTGATTTTTATATAAATAAATAAATAAAATAAGAGAACGCAAACTATTTCTAAAGGTTTGATTAATATGGTCCCAGCTACCTCTTTTATTTCAGTTGCATGATGGGATAACTCACCTTCTGAACATCAAGCATGAATACTGACACCTCTGATTATATAAGAAATCATCACTTCACAATATTCATTTAAACTGGGATTAAGAGATGGAAAAACATGGATTTTAGTCATTCAGTGCATGAAAAACATTTTTTGTTTTCATGCTTAATGATAAGAGGTTTAATGCAAAGTGAACAATACCCCCTTATGTTTAAAAGGTCATATTGACAACATTTGTTTAGCTTGTTAACGAACAACAGTTTCCTTCTTCTCCTATAACTCTACATGTTTTTATATCTCACAACACTTAGCAGTGTTTGCCCCTTTAAAACTAAGAAGCATAATTGCTTGTTAAATTCAGAAGTTGCTGTAATGGAGCTTAAATGCCAATTCCCACTGCCCTTCACATTTAACCTTAACCTCAACTATAGCACTGTTTTGTTCTCAGTTATGGTTCCTTTTGCCCTTTTCAGAATGCACCAGACAGCTTAACAAGGCATTCAATTATCTCTTAAAAAGCCTATTGGGTCAGAGAAGGGGTGCCCACACTTTTTCAGCTTGGGAGCTACTTTTAAAATGACCAAGCCCAAATGATGGGGGGGGCTAAGCGCGCGCTTACACTAATTGCGCAGCATAAGCGCATTATAGTGCGCCGCATTTGCGCTTCAGATGAGGAGGTGAGGCCCCTTCATAACTGCATGAACCCGTATGGCACAATACAACTCAGACTGGCTTACCTGTACGTCAATCAAGTGGCAAATGCCATAGTAAGGATGGATGATAGGCTAACTTTAAAAAATAAATCAATTAAATGTTTTTCATGTTTTTTCAATGCCATTCGATCTACCCACACTACCCTTGCGATCGACCGGTCGAGAGAAGTAGTTTTGTGTGGTGGGGAAATGTGTGAAATTGTCTGAGAGTATCCTGATTGTTGTGCCTGTAGCATCTTATTCGCAAACTATCTAAAATACAGGATATACTGTTCCTGTCATGATGGGATGTAACAATGGAGGCTATCTGATATGGCAACTGTGTTTAAAACAACAGGATTCAGGTTGCTCACCTGTGAAGCAATGCTACTTGTGATACAACACCACTAATAGTTGCGAGGTGGTTATTTCACAATAAACAGGTTAAGAAATCCGAGAGCTTTTGAACATGGCCGACACTTCTCATTCATATAGTGGGAAAAGGTCAATGTCAGTACAGGCTGAGGAGACATCATTAAAGCTCTCACAGCAGCAGAAAGACAAGGTGGGACTTTCACTGACTGCCATTTGAAGGTAAATACCTTTCTCTCTGTCAACTCAATTCCACATCAATCCATACTGCAGCTGGAGGCGAGAAGCTTCAAACTGACAGAGCAGGCCTCCCATGTAAATGTAAATGTAAATGTAAAGTACTTATATAGCGCTTTATCGAGTCTTTACGACCCCTCAAAGCGCTTTACATACTACATGTCATTCACCCATTCACACCCATTCATACAGAGCAGTACCACTAGGACCTAACATTCACACACATTCACACACCGTTGGCCATGCCATCGGGAGCAAATCAGGGTTAAGTATCTTGCCCAAGGATACATCGACATGTTGGCTGCACGGGCTGGGATCGAACTCACAACCTTCTGGTTGAAAGACGACCGCACTCTATGTGGCAGTATGTTGTTAAAGATGGAAACATACACTGTAGGCAAACTAGATAACAGCAGAAACACTTTATTCAGGTCTCTGTCACTCCAACAACAACCACAGCTTCTCTGCATCTGCCCTCCCTGGATGTCAACAACATGTCCCTTATAGATGTCACCACCTGACGCATGTTAAACTGTGTAGTTAATAAACCCAGATATTTGGCAGAGCAATGATATAATAATGAAATTAAGAATCATGGTTCTCTGAATAAGCCCTATGCTTTTGTTAAGATAAATCCCAAAATAGCACTAATGAAAATACTAGCACTACGGCAGCTATAAAAAGAGCTCAGCACTCCTGGCAGAGCCCCAGAAGTGCTGTACTTTAAAAGCTCTGAGTGGAAAGAGTGTCAAGTGGCCCTAAGAAGCAAGCAGACAACAACATAAATACAAACACAGTAGGTACAAATACACCTCCGTATGAAAATGGTTTGGAGCAAAACTCTGAAGAAACAGAAAGACATTTAGGTTTAGGAGCTTATGCTGAAAAGCATGCAGCTCAACAAGCTCTGAAATTGTATCACACAGCCGGTGAACCTGCGGCCAATTAGTGAAAATACAACAACGCCTGTACATGGGTGAAAACATCATGCATAATTGAATCTTTTTTGATGGAATGTGAGTTTTTGCAGGTCGGGGCAAGACGCCCTGTGCAATGCAGGCGTACCACAGAGCGCTTTTCCATTTTCAGCTCTTACACTCTGACGGGACATGAATTACGACACACCGGCAAGTATACAACGTCCCCGCACACACTGTGCCTCGTAGCAACCTGAGCCAACCCCACAGAGACGTGCACATACTGTACTTTCTCTGCGGTCCCTCCAGCACATACAAGTTGACATGTGAGAGCAATGGTATGATTCCTATGGCCCCTATGGAGAATATGCACACACGTTGCACAACTACGAGCACACACTGTCCAAGACAAATACAGAAGAGTCAACAAAAGATGTCACAAAAAAAGACTTACAGTGCTGACCTGATGCCGCAGTGGGACTGTAAAATATGCATGGCAGACGAGGACTGCTAGTTGAAGATTCAGATCTAGATGACTAGCTGCTACACAGCAATCATACATGGACTAACACTCTCTCTTTCTCTCTCTTACACTCTGATGTCTCTAGCAGTTGTGCTAAGTTTAGCCAGCCAACCCACTATACACTCTGCCTCTCCCTCCTCCTTCCTCTAATCTGTGGGACTTTATTTCTCGGTTGCTAGTACCACCCATTCTACCCTGATTGGAGGACAGTCAGCCTCTCCACCTGTGACTTTGACAGTGACTGTGGAGTGCGTCCAACATGTAATTGCTGCGCTGTCTGGTAACTGAGCACTCTCCAGAGACGTGACTATTTTAAGAGAGTGCAGTTTTCATTAAGGCTTTCATTAGCAAAACAGCACATCCACACCAGGCACAGATAAATATATCTCAATGATAATTGCTCTTATGTTGGTACATTTAAAGAATAAGGGTTGGGATTATTCTATTGATGTCTTGGTGTC